AAACAACAACACAGTTCTGTTTACAACAACAACAACACACACAGTCCCGTTGACAACAACAACAACAATGTGTTGTTTTCTCCATGGCTGCAGATGCAGCTAAAGAGTTGAATTGTCTTCTGTGTGTGTGAGGACTGCAGAGGACATTGAGACAATAGTCATGCTTCATTCCTATTTTCCCCACAGGACCAGTGTTCTGTCCACTGTCCCTGCTGCTGTCCAAACATCTCCATGTGTGAGCAGTGCTTCAGACTGGCTGAAAAGTGTGACTGCCGCCTGCCCACCGTGCGCTCCTTCCTGCCCGACGTCTGCTCCTCCCCTTCAGTAAGAACAAACGGCCTTCCATCCCTCTGCTGTCCCCTCTGAGGTCATAAATATACATGAAATGTATGCACATGAAGAGCAGTCACTAAAATATGCAGCGAGCTGCACCGTCCGATCACTTTTCATACGTATGAGCTCAACAGGGTGCACTGTGGTTCAGAGGGCATCCTAGAAGCCAGCTGTCTCACATGGCAGACGGTTCACGGCAGCTCGACAGGGTCTAAGGCAGGCATGGGAAAACCCCGGCCCGCGGGCCGTATACGACTCGTTGGGCTTTTTAATTGGCCTGCCGAAATTGTCCAAAATTTGAACAATAAAATAAATTTTAAAAAATTATGCTTTATTTTTTAGGGGTGCTGAGGTAAAATTTTGGGGTGCTTAAGCACCCCCCAAAAAGAGGTTAAACTGCCACTGGTTCAAATTATATAAAAAAAAAAATTTATTTAATAGTGAAAAAAAAAAAACCTGGTGTTGTTTTACCTGTAGTTCCAGCATTTCCCCAGTAGAGGCGCACTACAGACACTGGCGTGTATTACAGGCAAGGGGAGAAGAAGTAATTTCTTCTTCAACACTTTTATTTTTACTTTGCCTGAACTCGTCTGTAAAAACGTGTTTATCAAAGAAAAAAGTGTACAGTGAGTGTCGTGTTTAAAATGGGGTGGACACAACATATTGTTTCACTGAGGTCCAATCAAAGGCAGTTTTTATGCCAAAAAACTTGCGGTTTTCAAAGAGTACACTTTGCTAACTGCTAACTATGCTAGCAAGCCTTTCTCCGATTGCGATTTTTTTAAACCTGGTAAAAACAGAGCAGGTCTATTGTGTCCGGAGGGCCAAAATAAGTTAAAAAATAAAATAAAATCAGTTTATCACGCAGGATTGTGACTCGCCTTGTGGAACTGATTAAGATTTAGCAAAATAAACTAAAAGGCAGAGAGAGTCCTTTAAGTTACAGTTTACTGGATGAAAGTAATAAAGGACACTGCTCATCTCCTTTTTTTTAAATCTGCTGGATTAACAACAGTTTTGAGATAATGGAGGTGTTTTTGACCCTGGAGTCTCTGAAAGGAAAAACACGGAGAGAGGATTTTTATAACCGTCTGCTGTCATGAGAGAATGAAGCTACTGTGGAGTAACATCGACAATGTCACAACGGACACATCACCAAATTTAAGTGGAAAACATGTCGGGCTGCTGACAAGAATCCAGGATAAAGTGAAAGAAAAACCCCGACCAGGATGTTATTTTTCATCCATCAGGAATCGCTGTAAGTCATTCTTTGTGTGTGCGTGTGTGAAACTGTTAATTGTGTGTGAATTATCAAAAAAAAAATGTGAAAGACAAAAACGTGCAAATTATTGTGCAGGTGCTGAGATGCTGCACAGAGGAGCTGCAGGAGGATGATGTCTGCTTCCATTCCCAACCTGCTGCAGCTGACCTGTCATCAACTTTAGATCCTGTAGTTGTAAAAAGTTTAGTGAGGAGTTTGTGGAGGTGAGCTGACACTTTATTTAGACTTTTCTCCTGTATTCCATGAGCACAGTGAGGTAAGAGACTTGTGGTTTGGTTCATTTGATTTTTTTTTTCAGGTAAGAGAAAATCCAGTGGTTTGTTTTGTTTGTTGTTTGGGCCTGAAGTTGGTAAGACTCCACAAAGTCAATAATTTAACTATTGTAAATAAAATCACTGTTCTATCATATAATCTGACTTAGTGGCTGCTTGAGTAGTGCAGAAGGTGGAATCGCCCATAATTAATAGCGTCTCGGCGGCTGTTATTGAGCTGGGGTGCAACATCACACAAACACTCCATCCATCTGTTCCTGGCCCGATCCTTTGGTTAGATTAAGTGATAAGCAACATTCCTTGAATTTATCACAGGGGGGGGTCGACTTATCCCAGTCGATATTGAAATCTCCTGCCAAAAAAACTCTTTGAATTTTAAATTTCCAAGGAATTCAATCAGGGAGGACAGAGCTTCAGGTGTTGCTGAGGGGGGGACGATAACAACCCACTACAGATAAGATCTGGCTTCTATTCAAGGTGATGTTTACAGCTACCATACCATACCATTTTATTTATAAAGCACTTAAAACAGCTACAAGGCTAAACAAAGTGCTGTACAGACAGAACAACAGGTAACACACAAAGCAAAATACAAAATGAGGTAAATCATAGAATATAGACTAAAACGATGCAGATAATGACGACAAACCAGTGTGAAGTATACAGGATCAAACACAGATCATCTGGTGTTGAAAGCTACTGAATAGTAGTGAGTTTTTAAACGGGACTTGAAAACCGAGAGGGAGGGGGCCTGTCTGACGGGGGTGGGGACTGTTCAGTGATTTGTAGACATACAGGAGTATTTTGAACTGGATTCGAAAGTGAACCGGTAACCAGTGCAGTGAGGCCAAAACTGGTGTAATGTGCTCTCTTTTGCCTGTACTGGTTAAAAATGGGGCTGCTGCATTCTGGACCAGTTGTAGTCGTGCAATAGAGGTCTGACTGATACCAAACAGGAGTGAATTGCAGTAATCAAGCCTAGATGTAATGAATGCATGTATTACTGTCTCCAGGTTCTTTTTGGACAATATGGGCTTCAGTTTAGACAGTCGCCTCAGTTGGAAGAAGCATGATTTAACAATCATGTTTACATGATCGTTAAGTTTCAGGGAATGGTCCATTATCACACCCAGATTAGTGACTCTTTGTTTTTCTGACAGGGTTAGAGTGGAGAGGTCGATGCAGTGGTTTGTGATCGTGTCATTGGGAGGGAACAACATGACTTCAGACTTCTTTTCATTGAAACCTAAGAAATTTAAAGCCATCCAGTCCCTGATGTCACCCAGGCAGTGGAGCAGAGGTTGAATAGAGCATGTACCATTTTGTATTGGTGGGAACTAAATTTGACAGTCATTGGCATAGAAGTGGAAGGACATGTTGTGTTTCCGGAAAATAGCACCAAGCGACAGCAGGTATACAGAGAATAGGAGGGGACCCAGGATGGACCCCTGCGGAACCCCCCATTTAAGCTCTGCCTCTGCAGAACTAAAATCCTTGATGGAGACACAAATTGATCCGTCAGTGAGATAAGATCTGAACCAATTGAGGGCTGACCCTGTGACGCCCACCCACTGCTCTAATCTAGCAACGAGGATCTCATGGTCGATGGTGTCAAAGGCGGCTGTGAGGTCCAACAGGACAAGCAGCACAGAATCATCGGTATCTGTGAATCTGAAGATGTCGTTGAAGACCTTCAGCAGGGCAGTTTCAGTGCTGTGGAGAGGTTTAAAGCCAGATTGGAAAAGCTCTAAGATGGCGTGATCCTCCAGGAAGCACTTCAACTGGGGTTCGACTATTTTCTCCAGTACTTTAGAAACAAATGGGAGTTTGGAGACAGGCCGGAAGTTGGACACGACTGAGGGGTCAAGGTTTGTTTTTTTCAGGAGAGGCTGGACGGCAGCATGTTTAAAGGTTTTTGGCACCACGCCAGTGGATAAACTACTGTTTACTATATCAAGAATGGACGGACCTAGAGTTGGAAACACCTCCTTTAGTAGTCAAGGGGGGACCACATCAAAGGGGGAACCAGAAGGTTTCAAGCTGCACATGACCTGCTCTAGAGAAGATAGAGTGATGGGTTCAAAATGGTCAAAAGGAGCTACAGCTTGAGGTGGGATGGATGGGTCATGAGTTGGAGGGGAAATGAGAGCTCTGGTGGTCACAATTTTTCCAAAAAGAAATGTAAGAAGTTGTTGCACAGCTCAGTCGAGGCTTCCAAAGGTGATGTTTCAGTGAGGTGGAGAACAGAGTTTAGGGTGGAGAAGAGGACACGTGGGTTGTGAGAGTTTGAGATTATGATATAAGAAATGTATTTGGATTTAGCAGTTTTTACTGCTTTCTGATAACGGCGCCAACTCTCTTTAAGTATTTGAAAAGAGACCTGCAGCCTGTCTTTCCTCCACTTGCGCTCCGCCCTCCTACATTGCTGCCTAACGGCCTTGGTGACGTCACTCAGCCAAGGTTCTGCTCTCAGTTTTGATTTTTTTGGTTTTAACAGGTGCAACATGATCCAGAGTCTTTAAGCAGACAGAGTTGAACTGGGATGTCAGCTCCTCAGTAGTAGTGAGAACAAGGGCGTCAGAAGCATCTGTAATGTGGGGGGGACACAATGAAAGTGTGCGCGCGCGAGCGTGCATGCGTGCACGTGTGTGCGCACGTAAAAAAAGGTGTTCACTAGTGAACAAAAAAAGCAGCATTTCACCTAGATTTCCTTTAATTCCACACATTTAAAACATATTTCTCACCAAGTTTGTGTAAATTCAGTTGTGGGTTTTAAAGTAATTTTAACTTTAATACACTTTAATACAAAGCGTCAGGTCGACTCTATTTGTCTTTATAGAGAAATAAAAAACATCACCACTGGACTTTTTTACTTGTGTTCAACACGACATCTAAATGATGTTTGTCATGAAGCTTGAGGACAATAAGGTGTGGGGGTTCAAAGATATTTTAACTTTAATGCACCTGAACACACAGAGTCTCTTACACCTGCAGCGTCTCACAGCGTCTGTTACTGCTAAGATAACATGCTACAGACGTAGCTCTCCACTTCTCTCCTCCTAACATGAATATATGTTGATGATCAACCCCCTGGTCAACCACTGCCCACACAAAGCTTGCTTAACTGGCGAGCGAGTAACACAGGTACCTCCACCTGTGCGCGTTTTCTGCCGAGGCAAGAGGCAGGAAGGGACGGTGGAGAGTTGGAGGTAACCAAGAAAAGCTGGAGTGGAGTTTTAGTGGCTTCAATATTCTCCTATTAATCAAGTGCAATGGATTCGTTCACGAAGAAAGAGAAACTGCACCGCCTGAACTAATGTTATATAGTAAAAGTGGGGGGGTCCAAATTAACGTTTTTTTAATGTGGGGGGGACTTGTCCCCTTCACATATAATGGTTGCGACGCCTATGAGTGAGAAACACTGGGGCCTGAATTATCATTTCAGAGTTATAAGCATCTGTGAAACGTGTGGCAGTGAAGTGGTTAATGGTCCAAGTCCTACGTGCAGGAATGCACGGCTTAGGAGGTAGATGGGGGAGGGTGAACTCAAACCGGACTGGCATGTGGTCTGAAAAAACATTATCACCAATAACAAGATCACTAACAGTCATATCATGAGTTAAAACAAGGTCCAGTGTATGTCCACACTCTTGGGTGGGACTGTTTACATGCTGAGTTAGTTTAAATGAGTCCAGTAAATCTAAAAAGTCCTTAACCAAGGGCTTCTCAGGACAGCACATGTGCAAATTAAAGTCCCCAATAATGAAAACATGCTCATATTTTGGTGTGATTTCAGTCAAGAAGTCAGAAAACTCATTTATGAAATCGTTAGATCGAGGTGGGCGGTAGACGAGTGCAAATAACGTCGCAGGTGAATGTCCGAGTTCAAAGACGCTCGGCTCAAAGCTGGCGTGGGAAACTGGGATGGGCAGTTGTTTACAGTCAAAAGTTGATTTGAATATTGTTAATAATCCACCACCGCGCCGGCCTGATGGCTGCAAGGCGTTAAAACACAGACAGTTCGGTGGTAATAATTCCGTCAAGACGCTGGACTCACCCGGAGACATCCAAGTCTCTGTGATGCAGAAAAAGTCCAACTCGTGCTGTTGAAAGTAATCCCTGAGGATAAAAGTTTTGTTGGTAACAGATCTTGCTTTGACCAAACACATCCGGATCCGGCAGCGGTGAAGTTTGCGCGCGCCTGGCCTCAGGTTTTCAATAACAGCCCCTCTGGGTCGGTCCGAGCTGCGCACCGGCTGACAACTCCTGTTGTTTACCTGGTCCGGGCACGCGGGAAGCTGGCGATGGAAACCATGACCGCCAGCTGAAGAGGAAGATGCAGCTCACAGGTCTTTACACTTTACCAGCCTCCCAGCACGTTTTCCCCGGTGTCTGAAGCGATGTCTCCAGGCAGGGAGGTGAGGAGCTCAGCGGAGGTAAGCTGGCACGTCTGCCAGCAGGGGGGTGGGGGGGGGGGGGGGGGGGGTGGGGGGGGGGGGGGGGGGGGGGGGGGGGTCCAGAGGTACGCTCATATTGTTACAAATAAGCGACATCGGTGACAGAAAAACGAAGATCCAGAAGCTGTTGTCAGTCATACATCAGCAATGAGTTTATGTCACAGATAAAAAAGGAACAAAACAAAAATAATCCGAACACCATCAGCAGAGGTGGATTGCAAGCCATGTACACGGGCGCCATCTTACCGGAAGTATCTACTATCTAGTAGCTAAGGCCTCAAACTGTTTGGAATTATTTTAGCAGACACAAGACTAGAAACCAGACGACTCCCCGGCTCGAGGGGTCACCTGGCCGGCAGGGTGCACTCAGAGTGACCGGTGGGGTGGGAGCGGCCGGTCCTGGACCGAAAGAATTTTTTGGACGGTCCCATCCGGCTCTCTGAGTCACTGAACACTGAATTCAGTTGGAAGGGGACCAACTTTAGTCCGGTTCAAAAAATGGGTCAGTTTGATGATAAAAGGCTACAGAGATGCCGGGGGGAGCTGCAGTCCATCATCTTACCAGAACCGGAAGAGAAAGGCGAAAGATAGAATGTATATTTCTGTGTATTTACGTGAGTTCCAGTACTTTGTGCTCTGATACTATGGAGGTCAGCAGCATGTTCTTGCCACAGGTCAAAAATATGCCTGATTTTACGCAACGTTTATTTGGATATTTCCCAACGTGCGTGGAACCATTTCGTTGGTACAAGGTCCCCGCTCTCCAGTCCATATTGTTTCCAGCAGTCCCTGTGTGAGAGGCGGGGACACCTGGACAGGTCTAGAGACAAAGGGTGAAACTTTTCAAGCAGACGGCAAAGTTTTCATTTTGTCGGCAAGATGGCGGCATGAGCGCATGGCTGTGCAGGAGCTGAGCACGAAAGCTTAAAAAATGTAACAAAGTTCAGCATGTTTCCTTCAGCCGGATGATTTTCATTCAACTTTTATTTATTCAGGTTAGTCTCACTGAGTCACAACAGAGACCTGCTTTAGACAGACAGATTTTTCCTCTGGTTGTCCACAGTTGTCCACATTTTTCCTCTGCTTGTCCAAAATGTGTCCACATTTGTCCTCGGGTTGTCCACAGTGTGTCCACATTTGTTCTCAGGTTCTCCACAGTGTGTCCACATTTGTCCTTTGGTTGTCCACAGTGTGTCCACATGGACTGCACCTGCACATGCCAGCCTCCAGAGTGCAACTCCTGCAACTGTCTCTGCTTTGAAATTCGAATCAAGTGAAGACGGAACCAGAACCTGATCCACGTTGCCTGTCCTCCCTCACAGAGAGACGGAACCACCTCGTCTTTCAGGGCATCAGCACCGCGTCTTCTGGGTCCAAACCCACAGAAAGTTCTTCTGGGTTTTAAGAGACTTCATTTTCTTCACTCAGCATGTCCAACTGTTCTTTGTTTTTATCACTTTGTCAAATTAATATTTTCTGACAAATGTGTTGAATAAAAATGAAATGTTGTTAAAAACTTCAAGTGTTTAACGTTTCGCTTATTAAATGTTTGTGAATATTAGGGTTAATTCCATCTATTAACCAGCTGTGGTGGCCGTCTTGAAATGGGTTAACAGGTTAGCTGTGATGGTGACTGCACCCTAGATGGCGGCGTGAGTGCACGGCTGTACAGGGGCTGAGCACCAAAGATTCTACAATTTAGGGTGCATTCACACCTGATAGTCCGGTAGACTCGGTTCGGTTGGGGACCAATATTCATGACCTTTTGTTACATTTGAGCTGGTGCGTTTGCATTCACCCTGCACTGTGCAGTCGAGCCAACCTGTTGAACCAACCTGTTGAACCAACCTGTCGAACCAACCTGTCGAACCAACCTGTTGAACCAACCTGTTGAACCAACCTGTCGAACCAACCTGT